ATTCAATACACTTCGATTCTATTTATATGTATAGATCTATAGATTAATATGTGTTGAATGTAGTTATTGACTTACTGTGTACTTTGTATCAGAGGTTCAAGTATCATCTCTAAACTGGCTGATCTAGGTCCCGGGGCGTTTCTTAGGTCGTTCAAGCGAGCTGGACTGTACAAACTGTGGGAACTGCGCTGGCTTAGCGCTGATTCGCAGCGCTGCTGGGGCGATGCAAAATTGGCAGCGTTTTTATTGCGACGCTCTTCCAACTCCTTCAAAATTCGTTTCAAACATATTTTTTTGGAAAATTGCTATTTAAAAATATTGTTCATGCGGATGAAAGTCTTATTCAAATTCCTTGTTGTCTGTATCTTTATCTTTAATAATCTTACCTTCGACGATAGATGTTCTCTTATATTAAAATGGGAAAATATACAGTGATATATGGAATCCATCTATGTGTTACATTTCATGCATGATTTTTTTTCTATGTGCACTATTTTAAATGATGTAAATAAAACAAGATATTAAAAGTCAAGTATTTGTCATGTACGCGATGTTCATCCGTCGAAGGTTTGAAGTTAAAGAGTTAGACATAATATAACAATGACACCATTAATAACTGACACAATTAATAATTTAAAACATTTGAATATGCTCGAAATCAGAAAATGTACCAACAAATTGGGAGAACCATATATTATACTAGATAATTAACGTCGCATCAAATACAAACGCAAAGCTTGCATAAAGATGAAAGATTTTTGAGTAAATATTATATTTGTGTGAATAATAATTTTTAATATTTCAATATTTATGTTTTAAATATTTTTATAAAAATATGTTGGACAAGATAAAGACAACAAATCGCGCAAAAATGAGAAAAATGTAAATATGAATATCAAAATTGACCACAAAAAACGATCTACACGTCTACTACTGTCGATTCCTATAATTTTATATACTGCTCCATGTATTTCACGAGCCTGTTTCAGTATCCTCAGTTTGTACAGTGAGAACGCTTCGAACAAAAATAAATTATATTCCTTTTATGCTTAAAGCGCATTAATTATTAATAAAAAAGCCTTGAGGTTAATTAGAACTACGTTATTTGCTACTAAATATGTTATCATAGCACCGAAAGCGTAAATACATGAAGCAGATATAAGAATTTAGGCATAATATAGGTAAATGGTATTTTCGACTAATAGTTGGCGGATATTATAGATATTGCATATATTGTCATATATAAAACGCACCATTAACCATATTTGAACGTAAAGACGTAAAAGCATTGTGTAAAATATCGTTATACAAAAGCAATATTTCTAATATTATAAGCAAGAATAAGAAGCAAGCATTTGAAAATTCTACTCCTGACTAGAAGCTGTTTTATTAACATTTGTGAGATTTGGTAAAATATTATAAAAATATTTTAAAATAATGCAACAGTCGAAAAAGATCAGATGACTGTTTTGTCATTATAAAGCGTAAAAATACTACAATAAGCGAAAGCATCCAGGCATAGATACATCAATTTTCGTATCATTGAAAGCATTATTTGTTTATAGCACAATTTTTTTTTTTTTTTTTTATTTTATTTTTATTCTGCAATCTATAAAAAATAACAGAAATAATATATATAGCACGCACAAAGCAAATAAACACATTATTGATGTATCAATGCCTGTATTCAAATGCACACACTGGAAATAGTCAAACAATAAACTAAAAACTGTAAATCATTACTTTACAGATAACTGCCTCAAACAATTTAATTTAATTAATTATTTGATTAATTTAATGAGTAAATGTTATAGGATAGGTATTCAATCATTTCAAATTAATTAAATACATTTTGCGGAGCTCAATATTTTAAATTTGTAAAATCAACATATTATTATATATTAAGCTGATTTCAATATAAAATGAATTAATAAATAAAGCTCATAATGTGACTATTCCCAAATGCATCCGCAATGTACATGTTCAGCGTGTACTTACAGCGAATACCGAATTCCCGTTAGCCTCGACATAGAGCAGCGGCCCAGTGGCGTTCGCTCGATGTTTGCTGGCGTGCCTTCGGTTATCTAATGTGCCACCTCCTCCATTGTATGCTGTGACGTTACCAGGGGCAAAGTTTTGTGATTTTTGATTTTGAGTCCAGTGCTTTTTACCCAAAGTACCCTGTTGCTGGTGCCGAAAGTGATATTCGTCTGTCACCGTGTTGTGCTTTTTATTCATGTTAGGATAAGCAGTGTTATTAGAGGAGCCGTTTTGAGCACGGCGATTATGGCTATGGCCATAGCTATAATAATTATTGTTATTGTTGGTTTGGTGCTGATGATTAGGAGTAGTTGTCGAAGAGCTACTACTATGTACAGAAGATGATGTGTTGGTTTTATTGGCAGTGGTAGATTTTTGTTGATGATGTTGCCCGACATCGCCACTGTTGTGTGGTCGACGGGGTATAGTACTCACGTTTGGTGAACCCGATCCGCTGGCCGCGTTCGATGCGTACTTTGCGCTGTCACTCGATCTGGACAAATAATATAAGATTATTGTCATATAAAACGCAAATTATAATCAAATTATAATAAATTCATATTTTCATGTTTTTTCATTTCTCAATTGTGCCCATAATTATGAAACTGGTCTAAGTCAAATTTACAAAAAATGAGTTTATCAGTTATTCATACCACATTAGTTTAAACTAAATGTATTCAATGTAATTTTTACGAAATTGTCAAAAATGAACCATTAGATAGTGGTTGTAATTTCAACATTATATGGACTTCATTTAGTGTTAATT